TAGGAATGTATGTCACTGCATGAATAAAACTGACCCTCACTTTGCCACAATTCACAGCGTCAATATGCGTTCATAGCGTTTTTTTCCATATTTTTCAACGCTTTTGGTCGGACCAAATAAAGGAAGCACATGGTGATATGTCATGTGACATATATGACGTATATTTATGTCATGTGACGTATATTTATGATAATAGCGCGCACAATCCCATCTTCGCTAGCCAAGCTCTAAGTTTATTCGGCAAAGCCGCTAAACCGACCTCGACAGAACGACCATCAAATATGCGTATTCTAACAGCGCCCCCAGTAGTAAGTTGCGGCTAATCATTGTCCAATCAGTTTGCGTGTTACAAATCCCTCTTTGGTATTTCATTTTAAACAAAATGGCGGCGCCCATGAATCGTGTTATTTGTGATGATAAAATTGCGAAAGTTTTCGGTGTTGGTGCCTTCAAGCCTCATCAGGTACAGGCAATCGACGCAGTTTTGTGTGGGAACTTGAAGGATGTCTTCATAGCGACAAAAACAGGAAGTGGAATTTTGTTTTATAATTTGGTACGTCCAAGATTATTTATCTATCTATTTATTTACTTACTTATTGACTCTTACACAATATTACTAAATAATACAAAATCTCAAAAATACTAACTAATATAAAATTACTAAATTGACAGCAGGCATTAAGATGTCAAGTAAGATCCTGATTGGGCTGATTGGGCGCCTTGTTTCGAGGCGAGCCCAATCAGATCTCACTGCTTAAGATGCGCAATTAGCCTATGCGATCCCGCACGGTATCGTGTAGAGGCCTATAGGTCGAAGACACGGAACTGTGCGATTCGGACGATGGCACAATCCTTGGAAATTTATTTGTTTACATGGCACAGTTTAAAATTATAGCATTCTACGCTACAAGTGTAATAATGTGGTATCACAGAGATCTTGTGCGCTCATTTGGATTAAAAAAAAACGCTCATGACACTTTTCAGAAGTAATATATTGTATATGATCAATTTCGGTGAAAATGTGTTCCTTAATCGTGGCGGTCATGGCTATAGCCACCTTTCTTACGATAACAATTCAGTCCGAGTCATAAATTAACGATATTTAAGTAGCCTCGGTGTATTAGTTTCTATGTGTGAACAAGGAGAGTAACCTGCCCTCCTTCTGTGAGCAGCGAATAAGCTGAAGCAGTCTGATGTAGATCGAATCGGTGGCTACAAATTCACAGTTGCCCAATACCCGTGAGAATTATTACAGAAAAAGGGAGAAGTTTGGATTGTTTAATCATACCTAATTCAAAACAAATTGTATATATTGCATCGAACTCTTTAATTATCATCCCAACAATGTGTGAACATGTTTATTATTATTAGCTGACTTTTAAGACACAATTCTCGACAAGTATGTGCCAAGTGCCCTTCGTGTTTTGCTACGAGCCACAATACAACACAATAGTATGTATGTTTCTTGTTAAGTCTCATTGTGTCCAACAAAAGAATTGAGCGAGCAATCCGCGGCGTGCCACTGTCCCTTTTATGTACGCCTTATTCTCAATTCACGTTAATTCGTGCCGTATTTACCCACAAACAGATTTTCTCACAAATTGGGACAAAGGACAGTACACGTTTTTTAGTGAACAAAAGCAAACACGACTTTTGCTAGTATTAAGTTTTTCTTTGAGCATGGCACGAGTATTAGGTGATAGTAGCGTTTTGTCAATGCAAAGTAGGGGGCCTGTTCCCAGGCATCCTTCGATATTATTTAGATATATAGATGTAGCATACTGGATCTGTTTTCGGTTAAGTAACTAAGCCTCTTGAAAGGTTCCTCCGAAGTCTGCTCAGATTATTATGTCCAACTATCACTGATATTATTAATCAGATTGAATGTCTATTCCACTCTTGAACTTGAAGGTCGACGAACAATAAAGAAAAAGACTCGATAAACACTCATAATGTATTTAATAGAAATATGTGACAAAATAATATATAGAGGATATCTGACGTCAGATCTAACATTAGAGTGACGTAGTGTTTGATAACGAATAGTTAAAAATTACGTCACGAGATTAATAAATCTGACATCATAGGTTACGAATATTCCTCGTTATCAGATATAGTCTTTTCACTAATATTTCGTTCAAGACTTCTCTGCACAATCACTTTTGAATATTGGGTACATTACTACTTGAGTACCAATTTTCCCGCGTTTTCAGCCATTTTATCGACTACGATTACAAAAATATTCTTGAGCCGGCAAGTGTATACATTTCCAACATTTTAACTGAATTTTAAGGAGTTTTCTTAGCGATGTGTATGGCGTTACGTCACACTGGAATTACGTGCTAGGACCAGCCATATTGTCAATAAAGGGTACGAGGTGTTAACTATTACATGGCTATATCACATGAAAATTTGCATGATACCCGAGATAAATGTGTATTCTAATTACATATTTTAATCAATGTTGTATATATGAGTGTGTTCTAAACCAGCCTTCTGGTTTGGATTTCCGAGTGACGTCATAATTCTTATCGGATCGCTCCCTGTGAAATGTCGCCACCCAGTGTTAACATATGTAATTTCGACTGGTCTGAGAAGCGGCTACAGTTCCAGTTCCTGTTTAAGTTATGTTCTGTTTAACACGCTTTGGTGCCGAATGACTATTGTATACATAATTTTGTTCATATGTGAACGTGGTCGCATGACTGGACATACTAATCCCATATTATTTTGTATTTATATATTTTTTACGAATGCACTGGTTATTTTTCTTCAAAAAAGGATGTATGTAAGTTTCTCGACGCCATATTTTCAACGGGAAATGCAATCGTACTATAATAGTACACCACTGTGTTCGCGGTGTGGGTTGATGTGACGTAGTGCTCTTGTAACATACATTGTCTGTTTACATAAAATTAGATGGCGCGATGAAAGTAACGCTTTAAAAGCATGTGTGTGTTCGAAAAAATGAAGAAACAAGTCATCCAGCATTTGAAATAAATACACCATGTTATGGAAAAAAATATTCAATACTGTTTAAATATTAACAACTTTATGTGTGTACTATAAATCCGAAGTCAATGGCGATTCTTTCATCAATCCTAGGCTAAATATTTGGCTGCCAAAGTAATCGATTTATCTCGTAATAAATGCGTGCTTACACAGTTTTGAGTAGAGGGGCCCTTTTAATGTATATGTATACTGTCACGTTCGAGAATGTAATTTATTTTAATTTCTTTCACATACTACTGAGATATATTTATAGCCCACTAAACAGAACAAACAACCTGCTCCTCTAGCATTGAAGGTTCATTGTGCTGTTTAACCAGACTTGTATGAAAATGATCATTGCAGACCGAGTAGGTGTGACACATATATGGGACGAACTGACGGTTATACTGTGCGAAAACTAGGCTAGTAAAATACAAGACTGTCGTAAAAACGGATGGGGTGTGTGGGATGATTCGACGCTCATACTCGCTTCCTTTTTGAATTGCCACGGGTATAATAACCGGTAACACTGGGCGGTATAGCCTCGTTGCCACCACCACACGTGAGACACATAGCCGAGCGTGTAGATATCCACCACACGCCGTTCTACCCTCTGTCTAGCTCCCCTGCAGTGAGTGGGAAACACTTCTTATAAAGAATTGTCAGACAAAAGAATCTCTACAATGGATCTTATGAAAACTAACAAACGCTGGGAAGGCATTCCAGATATGTTCGTTGTGATCACAAAATTCGGTTATATCACGGAGAGTAACGCGTGTTGTAAGTCCTGCAGCATACAGTTCCGAGGCATGAGAACTTACGAGATCGGTGGTACCGTGGCAGTAATACGAATACGTCGCATGCCGTGCCAATGCTAAGTTAACCTAAAGACGTGTGAGCAAGGGCCAAACGCTTCCAAATTACTCAATAAATACATTTTTATCACAATTGAAAAAATGATGAACTCTCACGGAAACACAGTTATCAGATACAATCAGTGCGCGATCAATGAAAAAATAATAATAATTTTTTCGTGTTGCTATGATGTTTTATTGTTTCTCTGATATGCGAATTTTGTATTTTTCCATCTAAGAACGAAATACACGCGTTAGAGGGCGACATACACAATATGGAAAGTAGACCGTGTCAACGCGATCATGTTGTCGACATCGATGACTGAGAGGCGTCGGATTTCCGACTAACTCTTGGCATAGTCACAACGTGTCTATTCCTGTCTCGTTTTCACGTCACATCCTGAAAACAACGTTGTTTGTGTATGAAACAGACGGAGTTTGAAAACGGCAAAATATTAGTTGGTGAATTTGATAAAATTTTAACGAGAACAAATATTGAATTAAAAATGATTACAGATATGTTGAGAATAAAGTTCAGAATAAAAAAAATAGATCGCAAAAGCGCATTATTATCATCAGGATTGAACGAGAACCGACTACTTTAAGTCACATGTCATAATACACCAAAATAGTATGTATTAATAACATTTGTTGTTATCACATGAGACGTGTGGTAGTTTGTCGTAAGTGGTTTAATGAATACTGAATTTTGAGTATATTTAGAGGGAAACACAAAGTTAACGTTTCCGTCATCTTTAAATTCGATAATATACCGTAACATTGAGGAAATGGTTAGTTGACTTCAACGTCGGGTATTCCGGTGAAATTGAAAAAAAAATCTTTTTAATTGGCGTTTGTGAAGTATTTCACGGGTTTTTTGTTGTTGTTTTTTCACTCTATAGCTCCTGTCATTGTATGAGAGGTGTGTCGATCTCATTTGCATCGCCTAACCATGGCACGCGCCAACGTGTGCATTTCAGCATAAAATGGGCACTATCAACCATGCCAACTAATCGGCGTCGAGGTCCTCATTAGGGTCGTCATTTAAATTGACATAATTAGACGTTCCGTCTTGTGATTGGTTGCTGGCGTCACCACACAATTGCGTTTACTCAATAAAAGGGTGCAAATGGCGCAGTCATATTATAGTCAAGTAGCCTCCCTGAACACAACAACTGCCTTCTACATGCTCGCATTACCCTGTATCTATTTAGTTCAATAGAAACTTCGAACGCGGGTCGACATTTTTGTTGTTGAAAAAACAGTCGTCGTTAACGAAAATATTTGCGGAAAATATCGAAGTCGGTGTACATCGACTGTATTTGGAGCTGATATCGCCTCTGGTGGTGATTTCGGAAAAATTGTCTGATTTGGGTGTCGTCCTCCTGCCGAGTTTCAACTTTACCGCCATAATTGAGGAGTTGATGCAAGAAACTAAGCCATACGTGCCGCATTTGGAGTGTCCCTGTGTTAACAGCCCCCCGTCGTACGACAGAAGCATGTTTCTCACAGCTACAGGTAGGTGAAATTTTGTTATCGTCTGCGTCTGATTTGGCGGCATGATTTCATCCGTTGCTTCATAAACTACGGTTTCTATTTATCTCATATATATCAACGCATCGAGTTAAAATCTGTTCTCAGTATGTTTAAAACATTCATAGTTTTTCGTTATCGTCTGCGATGTTGTGCCGCCACAATTTACTGTATTCATTTTGCCTCATAATTATCAAGTTCCAATCTAAAAATGACATCGAATTAATTTTAAATTTTCATAGCTACGATGAATTATGATTTCCCTTTCTTCTAAACCATATTTTAGTTGTGTGTTTCTCGAGGGGAGAACCACAGGGAGCCCGAGTAAGGATACCTTTCAGTAAAAAATTGGCCAGAATGAAAGCACACGGTTTGTTGGCACACAGCGGCTTCCGCGGAACCATTATTATTAAGAAAAATCGCTTTGAAATGTGACTTCCGCCAACATTGCGAGCGACACAAGTCACTGATCACCCTCAGCAGAGACGAATACGCCCGAAGGCCAGTACCGCTGATAAGAACACGTGGGACAGATGAGGGGTTCGTAGTTACCATGACAATTTAAAAATGTCAAAAAAAATTAGAACTTGAAGAAGACGGCGTTTAAAAAACACCACCAGCATCAATGTTCAGCATCAATGTTACCCCAGTGCCGATAACAGTCAAAACATCGGAAATTAGAAATACATACGATCAGTGTTTACTAGTATTTGCCATTTTTCCCAAAATGTTAGAATATACTCATAGAAAACACACTTTCAAATATAATTTTTTTCACGCAAATGAGTTTTTGTTTGAGTTGTGAGAAGCTAAGCGTTTATTTGTATAGGTAAAAATTGATTTTAAGTAATCTGCGCTTGTCAATGTGTGCCTAGCACCCAAGCTCAGAATACAACAGTCGGTATCCAGATTTCGGCTTTTGAAACTTGTCGCCGAAAACACAATATTGAATATTTTGAATCAGATACCGTGATGGGCAATTGAAACATTGGAAACAGAGACCCAAACTATGTTTTAATTACGAGTTATTGTTTTCACATTATCAGTCTTTTGTTTGTATTTGTTTATCACTGAACTTAACCGCACTTAAAATATGTAGACATGGGCGTGACAAATAAATTATCACTTTCGTAAAGAGTCGAAAAACAAAGACAAAGCTAAATAAATAAAGGCTAACGACACGACAATCAGATCCCTTTCTCCTTCAAGACAGAAACGAAACTTTCTGCACACTGAAATCAATTGACTGATGTAATGTGGTTGTAGTAGTTTTGAAAGCCTGTGGCCCAAAATTACGATGTGATTCAGAAGAAGAAAAAACAGCGAATCGCTCAGCATTGCTGACAATTGCCATAATTGATCTGCCGGAACTCTGTTTTTGTCGAAATAGACACCAGGATACTATTCTTTATTTTGTTTGTTTGTTTGTTTTATACTAAACACAGACAATGTTCAAACCGTGATCATGTCGTGATTTGCTTTTTCATACAATGTGAAAAAAGACAAAGAGCAAAAAGAACTGAAGACAGAATAGACGAGTTATTGCCTCAAAATTGTATACTGTTAGATTTAGTTTGTTTCATGTGGTCTTCAGTTTGTTGCCACCATAAATACCTAATATATAAAAACATTTTATTGCAAACTAAAAACGCTTGGCGTCTGTCGAACGGAAATATCGCTACCTGATAAACTTATATAACCATAAATAATGTTCGAATTCTGCTTTTAAACAAAAACTCGGACTCTATATTCGAGAAAACATCGGCACCATTGTTAACTAGAGTATGCGCAATGTCAGTCAGCAATCTTTTTTTAAATATTGAAAAGAACTACAGTAGAAACTGTTGGGAGGATGCTTTACAATATACTATAATATTATATTATATTTATGGGTTTCCGTTAAATGAAGTCAAATGTCAGGACTGAGCAGACGCTGATGCAGTAATTACGTGAATAATAATACATGTAATAATACATCGTTCTACGATCGTATCGCGTACTAGTATCACCTGGCGCAGATCGCTACTTCTCCATCACGATATCGCCCAGGTTCCTTTCCACAGTTTACTGAATACTAAATTTAAATACTCTTAATAATAATAATATTTTGTTTAATAATTTTAATCAATATACAGTAGTTCGTTTGCCACAACTGCCCGCTGAAATATACAAACCATTGCATCAACTTTTTGTTTTTTGCATTGCAGAGTCTTCGTATAGCGGGTTCATGCGAGAAAGGAGCTGCGCGTGGATAACCCCCCAACACCTCCCCACAAAGGTACGTTCTTTCATCATATATTTCAGTTCTATTTTGAAAGCTGAGCAAATCACGTTGTATTCCCTGTTTTGCAATGGAGAGCGAAGAATTATGGTACACTTGCTAGTCTGTCTGTAAAACGTATTTTTACTCTGGGTAACAACACGGTTGTTCACTCTGAATCGAGACTGTCGCCATAGTACACGAATATAAAGAGTTTTCACGAAAGATTTCAAATGTATGCTTATTTGGGGAGGCAGGTAAACAGGAATTTTCTCTTCGAAACATGATTCACCGCATTAATTCAAAGTGCACAGCACAATAGAGCTGAGACCGGGGAACGGAACCGACGAATTCAATGGACTTTTATTGTAACATAAATGTATTTAGAATATTCATTTTCAAACAAATGAGGAGAAAGGGTGTTAAAATTGACACGTTGAATTGGGTCGAGAATATATATAGACAGGCAAATGGGGAATCAAATCACCGCACGTCCGTCCGCGTCTCTGTGAATTTGTTGAGCATAGGTTCCATTTACGCTCAGTCCGATTGGCCAAGTATTATAAAAACTATGCAAAACATAGCTTGAAATATAGAAATGTCTGAGTGCACGACTTTTATGGTAACTATGGAAACGTATGAGTATGAAATCTAACTTGTCTGAGATAATATTAATATTAGTCAATAATTATCAGTCTGAATCATGTTTTAAACTAGTGGACATCCACATGTTTCAGTTGCAAATAATCACAAAGCAGTTACACCATTAATTTATTAGTATAAATTTATATTTGTAATCGTTTGGAATATTATTTCAGCATAGTTTATATATGTGTATTCACGTGAATTATCTTTTTATCAGCATTAATACTCGGACTTCAGGCTCCGCTTGCAATCGTGTTTGTGCGTGTGTGTGTGAGTGAGTGAGTGTGTGTGTGTGTGTGTGTGTCCTGCGAGATACCCGGTCTGTGGGCAGTCCGATCTCCTTAGAGTAGCGAGTAAGTATACTACAGTAAGCATTTATAAAGACTAAAAACCTCCACAATAGCTACGAAACACAAGAGTCGATTTTCAAACCTTTTGCTTCAGTGGAAATCTGTGTGGTTCACAATGATTTCCCATCGGAGGGTTCTATTTATAATGTATCACACAATGTACTCGATGTCGCCCTGCATTGAGCTCATGAATCCACCACTCCCAGGCGTGCATCAAGATTCAATCTACGCAGCTCAGCACAAAATATATTTTATTGCTTTTTAATTTCATTTGCTCTTGTGCCCGACGTTTCATATTGAGTCTGTGTAAATGTTTTATAACGTTAATACTGCGTCGGATACGTCCAGGGAATTGATATACGTAGCTTACACAGTGTTCTATTGTCAAAAATAAAGTAGCCTCTGTCTGTGAACAGTATTTTGTGTTTCCCCTCGATGCTTATCACACTTTTAGTGATGTATAATTGAATTTTAAGAAGTTTTTATAGTGATAACCCTAGTTATAACATCATTAGTCGGGCTACATTATTGAGATTTTAGACTTAGATATCACATTTGGCTGAATCTCTCGCGATTTACGGTGCTACCATGCGAATGGAAGTAATTTTGAAACGAAAACTAAACATCTGCGGTCCACTTTATCATTGCATTTATACACCCAAATAAAAGAATACAGACTAAATGCATAAAGTGCGTTTGTGGCATTCGCTGTGTCGTTGGTTTTTAATTTCATTTAGGATAATATAATTTTACAGAAAAGTTAAAAATCGTTGCCTAATTTTATAAACAAAATACATTTACATAAAATGAAGCCTTCGCGGAACATGTGTTGAACGTAAAATATTATCTTTTTGTTTTTATTTTTATTTTAGGTTACTCTCCCCCGCTTCCCGCCATGCCGAAACCCGCCGTGGACACGCATGCGCACATGCGACCAGGTAAGCCGAAAACAATAATATTTCGTCTATTGATTTTTATTTAAAAATAACCTTGCTTGACGTTTTTTGTTGCAAATTGAAGGATGAATTACACTGGAAATTTCTTCCAGTGTTGAAAATAATTTAGTAGAATAATCGTGTCTGGTTTAATCACTCGCCTCACTGCATACACTGGATTTGGTGGATTTTGGAAACCTATATGCTACCCATAATGGACGCGTTTCAATGGGAAAGAAAACTTATTGTATGCGTGGATGGCTTGATGGTACACGATTAGTCACGGCGGCCGGCGAGCTATATTGTTTTGGCACTACCACGTGATAGGTCACGTGAACGCCCAGTGTTACTGTTCTTGGAAATTACTCCCAAAGCGTGAATTTTCAAATGTAAAATATCTTACGTCGAATTTGATTTAATAAAAAGATTATTTAACATCTTCTCGCATAAATTATCCTGACTGTATTGATATCATGTTTCCTGTCATGTACGATTTTAAGGTAATTTATCGATTTGTTTGTTTGTAGTTGTAGATCCTTACCAACTCTTCGGAGCAGCCAGTAGCCGCCTTGCAAACACAGGTAAGATCACGTGCAAATATATCCGTTGCTATTAGTGATACTCCAACATAATAAATACTCCTCACAAAGTTATGTCAGTTTCAAAAAACGCTCAGTAGGCCATGGTGTGTATTTGAACGCGATCTGTAACTTTTCGATAAATAGAACTAATTTAAAATAAAAAATATACACAAACTTAAAGATAAAGATATTAAAGTGGGATTTGGAGGAAATGTATTTGAAGTGAAAAATTCGATTATCTGTGGAAAATCTAAGCTAAAAGTGTGTTTGTATGGAAGGAAAGTTTTCTTATAATACAATTATATTGTGTACTGTCGTCGCCGGATCAATAACACGACTGTGATTCTGTCCTTGTTGTATCCATTCCATTACACTGCAAACACACTTCCACCTCAGTGAACAATCATCCCAAATTCATTGAAAATCTTATCGAGAGCCCAGATCACAAAGCAATGTATAAAGATTGGCAAGCGTTAGCGTTGAACGCAGTCAGTTGGAAGCCTATCTCTTCAGCCTCGTCCCAGAGTGTCTCAAGAGAGAACGGGTACATTCGTATGATGGCTGCCGATAGGTGGATACAGTAAAAGCATAGGAAGTCCCTGATTCCACGTCTATCCGCTCACTGCAGCCTGCTTCATTATAAATATCAATCACTGGGCAAAACTACAGTGGCGCATGCGCTGTAATATCGACATATTAGTTATTTTAAATTTTAATAGAAATTCTGCAGATTTATAATTTTGTGTCAGCATTGCAGAAACATCAAGCTTTCGGGCAACGTGATCTTGAATTCACCTCCTAACAGAATCATTCCGTTAGAGCAATTTTAGTCTGATCTGGATTTTAATTTACCCCTTTACCATTCAATGTGCCGATTGTTGACCAGTAAGAACACATGCGTGGAGTTTAATGCGCAGTGGAACATTTAATGCTTTATCCATTTGAAGCGAAAACAAAATATTATCCCACATTTTGTCCCTCGTACAGAAAGGTAGGCCGACGCCGCGGAAAAGATATTTAAGCATTCTCCAGGCGGGCCTTCTATTTGGAAAACGACCTCCGGTTGATCGAACGGATTGAGATTTAGATAAATCAGTTGTCGCGCTCGTAAATTGCCCTATGTGTGTCGGATGTTTCCACTCCGGTAGCTAGTTAAATTGAAAAGTAAAATTAGCATTAAATGTACGGCGTGCTATGGGTGTTTGAAATGAACGCACAAGAAAAACAGTTTCTGTCAATGTACGGATTTATTCATGCAGAATCCACGCAAAATTGACTTTGAGGTAAATGGGACTACTTTATAATGGCAATGCGTTCAAACTTGCCTCGAGCTTTTATAAGACGCCAAATTTGATAAAATAATTTCAATCATTTGTAACCATGGAGATTCCCATCCCAGTGCGTAGTTCATAAGATGCTAGTTATGTGCATACAACTGAGAGTACTACGTCACTGGTGACGTAATTGGGACATATGGCGCTAATGATGGAAGGGTGCAAGTTCCCCCCCCCCCATTCCACTTAATCATTCATGTAAAAGACTTCCGTATATCAACCAGGTTTTTCCGTTCAACTAAAATATTAACGGCAGGTGATGGTTTTTTGAAGGATGTCCACATATTTACTGCCTTCCTGTCTATGTCTTCAAAACCGGAATGCTACAGCTTCTTTTTTCCTATCGTCTTCCTGGACATACCTATAAAAGCTTATGTCTCACGGCGTCAGTCTTGATTAAATCAAAATTGCTGCGTGTCTCGACGTCCATGATGATATTTCCAATATAATGCATTACTAGAACTACTGTATTTTGTTAAGTTCTTGTTTTATTTGATTGTTCAATTGTGACCAGTTTAGTTTATTTTTTAATTAAACAATTCTGGGAACTCAACGTCATATGCATTCGTTTTTATGGGAGGATTTCCTTTACATCTCTGTCAATTTTATGAAGCTGAAAATGGGACGTGACTGGCGTACAATTGGAAGTTCATCTTATATCCAGCCTTTTAAAGTACCTTGTACTGTGATAGATAGATTAGTTAAATATACAAATAAAAGATTTCTGCAATATCGTTCCTCTTTTCGGAATCTTCGGCTCATACAATGATATAATTGGTCATATTTAGAATAAAAATGAGTTTTAAATGTACCAAAACAACAGCTATTATAACTATTTAAATGTCCACTGATTTTTTCTAACTAGAACATTTCTCAAAATTTGCATCAAAATTGAACACTAAATATGCTATATCATTCTGGTACGCCTCAAAATTTGTCAATATTTTATACGGAGTTAATTTTCTTTTAAAATGCCTTCACATTTTGATAAATTAGTGCGTGTTAGCTGCTTACGCGTAAAGATACTGTCGGCAAATCACTTCTATTCGGGATTGTTATAAGCCAAGTGTCTGAAATTCGTAAATCTAATACGGAGACGATGACAATCACGTAAAATATTAGATTCAGATATCTTTATGTTGCCTTTCATTCTGATAGCGGCAAAGTGACACTTGAAAATACTCCAAAATGGCGGTCACAATAGAACTGGGTAATTAATGGAATAGTGTTTTCAAATTTTGCCAGTAAAAAGCAGTGCTTACAGCAAACGTCACTTACACATCCGATGCCTTGCATGAATGTCGACTAATAACTTCCAACTGCCTTTTATTGTGAGCGACATCGGAACAAAAATTGCACTTCGCTTTAGAAAATAGCTGACGGAAGAAAATAGGCTGGACTATTTCCCGCCAAAATTGCTTGTCAGAAAATCAGACACAGGGAGTCAGGTCATTTCTAAATTGCCCCCTTACAAAGCAATATACTCTTTGTTGTCAACGTAGAGACGCGGGAAAAATAGCAAATACGAAATTGCGAAGTAATTTTGTGACCCTAATTACCGATATTATCCCTCCAAAATGAGTTATCTGAATATTATTGTGCAAACGTACCGGAAGTCATAAGATCTTTTGCCGTAGGCTTGTCTCATGTACTACACCGGAGTCAAAATTGGCTTCAATCAGTTGAATTTCTGAAATTGCACTTTTTAATAATTTGAAAAACACTGAGAGTGTATGGGAAGATGCATCCGCATTCTATTTCAATTTGTAATTTGTGTGTCACATGAACAAGTAAAATGGCACTGTAGCCACACTTTCACGCACCAATTTTGTTTTCCATTATTCAAAGTTATTATTTCTGGAACTTAACATTATTCAGCATATCAATTTACCGAGAATGATGTTAAAGTTTTGAAATTGTTTTCTCAACATCGAGAAAGTCTTCCCAAAATGCAATGGAACCTCTCGTAAATTTAAGACAACAGCTCAGACCCAAAGTATCACCACCGTATTCCGACAATACTCGGGAAATTCAATCCAAAAACGTATTGCTCACATTTTCCTTATTGAATTACTTAATTTAAACGCTGGTCTACCAATTTAAATAGATTATTTTTCTGTTATAATGTTTCTAATTAGATATTAATTACAAAATAAGAATTGTGTTATCATCATGTCAATATTACTCTGGAGTTAATTAAATCATGAATTTACCACATATGAGCGCGCTATTGTACCACAGTGTCAGTCTATGTCGGTGATATCTCGACTTGAAGCCTCGTATATAGTGCTGTGATATAGCTGTATGGTGAACACCCTTCCATTGTGTAAATTTGTCAGTTTTATATACATCAAATTCTAACTTGTTTTACACCGTGACCATTTTGTATTCAAAATGGTGAGATATCTGCTGGAATATCGTTGCGTGATGGATAATAGCAGTCTGAGAGTACTACATTTGCTATCCGACTGAGTTTGTTCCGTTTTGTTCGGTTAATATTTAGTTTTCGTTTGACGTTCAAATAATTACACTTTTATAAAAGTCAGTTGCAATTAAAAATGTGTGCGTTTTCGCCAATTTGTCAACGTTTTTTGTTCGCTGTCTGCATATATGATTCTTAGGTAAATTTGTTACATTTTACGGTAAATTTGAACAATCAGGTGTCAACAATCCAATATTTTAGCGTCATTTTAATTCAATCAAACAGTCTTTTGAAATCTAACCATCTACGTGCACATGGTTTTGACCGAAACGATCAGCTTCGTTCTCAACTACTATGGGTTAAATTAAAAAGGTATCGTTCTTCCAGTGACATACCCTGACATACCCTGACATATACTATGCAAATTACGTAGACTTGAGGATGTTTTACGTCAAAAAAAAAAAAAAAAAAAAAAAACGGCGGCAGAGTGATTTTAACTTGCGACTATCTAACATGATGGTTAATACTATCACGCCGTGATTTTAAAGGCACTTCCGGTTGTTTTTCTCTGTGTAGGAATACGACATGTTTTGTTTATTTTGCGAGGCTTTATCCTGTGTCCCACGTTTATTTTGAAACCAAGGGAGAAAACTTGTGAATGACGATAATAATGACGCTTCATATTTGTCAAGTGATTTCACGAAATCATCGCTAATTATCGGACTCGGAACCATTTCTGAATATCATTAATTAGGGTGCCAATTATGTTCAATTTACGTTTAGCATATTTATTATGAAAATGTTTGGAAATTCGCAAAAAGGCGATAAGTGCTTGTCGTGCACTGTGGGGCATCTCGTGGTGGTATGAGTAGCGGCCCTATTGCACGTCTAGTACGCCCCGGAGGCCATCGTCAACAACCCAGTTTTTTTCGACTCGTTGTCTTTGAAAATCCCTGCAAACAGCCTGAAATTTCGGAGAACTCTTTCACGGGTTCGTTTTAATAGCACTGGGCGCTGAATTCAGTTTCTGCGCCACTCTAGCACCCGTGAAAGATACGGAAGTCAACACAGTGCTGCTTTAAAAGAAGGTCTCTCCGGCTTTCCTATCGCTTTTAATTAACGCAAAGGACTCAATCGCAAATTCAATAAACGCAGGCAACGCTATTCCAGTGAGCTGGATTCATTCGCAGCCTTTTCACTACTCTAATTTTTCGTTTCCTTCCGCCCGGGAAGCGATGATGGATGGAGTTTCAAATGACTCGAGTTTCATTTTTCAAACTCGTTATAAACGGGGACAATGATTGCATTTAATCAAAGTCACCCGCTGTTCATTAAGCTTCCGATAATGTTTGTACATTTCAAGCTAACGATCTTGGTATTGTGCCGGGAATCACATGTCGCTTTCAAACAAAATTAACATGGGATGATTTAACAGGTTGTTTTCCTAATAATAATCACCACCTTTCCTCCAAAATGTCGTTCTCTCGACAACTTCTTAGTTAATTTCAACGTCTTTTAAAAAAAAAATGCTTCTTAGGAGTAAACACATTCTCAATTACATATCGAGTTCTCATTTACTTGATAAGCGTCTATTTCGCGCCCTAACCGGGCTAATCCTGGAATATAGAGCGTGACTTCTGACACTCTGTGGACAAAGACTGTACTAATGTAATTATGCCGTATTGTTACAGTGTGGTTGAGAAAGCGCAACAGTCAGCGCGACTCTGCTCTCATCAATTACACGATAGTAGTTATAGAAAAACGACGGGAGTCCCGGCAACTTATATTAAAACTTCATTTGGTGGTACGCGTTAGCATTTTCTCTATAATAAAGTTCAATTATCGTGGCTTCCCGTAGATCGCTTTGATTATTTCTATCTCGCAGTATTCCTACAACTCATGGAACGACGCGTGTTCATGTATCCCCATTGCCGCTACTGGTCGATCGTTACATAGTATTTACGACTGTTAATATTTTTTTTTTATTTTAAAAATTTAATCATTCTTATTTAACAAAACAGAAATGTGTTACACAAATTCATTGTTCATGGTTCGCGTAATTTCTGTTATCCACAGATATATCATATTTTCACCGCTAGATGCGCCATCCGTCCATGTACTTGGCACATCAGTACTCAAAAACGTGGTGGAGGGAGGGGGCTGACAACACATTTGAAACGCGATATGGATACTGCTAGCTAAATACAATAATCGACGCGGTATCATCTTTCTCACAGCGAGGAAAACTGTAGGGATGGGGAACACATTAAGCCGAATACATACATAACCGGAGAATACATGCGGAGTTCGGATGTAAAACCGGCAACTACGATAAAAAACAGCTACTATGGAACGGGTCGATGTTACAATCGCCCTATGGTGGCTTTGCTCAGCTTGCAGAGACAGTGAAAAACTCCGTCATTGAAAGACGGCAGGGAGTACACCAGAAATATCCGGGCTTTTTCCGTTTACTTAATGAAAGTTAATTCGCTTTTCACATCACCGATGTCTCGCTATAGAAAAGAGCTGAATTCCGTCGGCCATGTCGAATCAGCTTTTAGTTTCACTTGTTTACTGAACCAAATATCGGGTAACAACTAACACTCCTTCAAACCATGTTCAAACTGAATCCATACCGCATTACAGAACCCTGGATACAGGTATAGGTGACATTGACTCGTGTTTTTAGTTATTTCGGTTTTTATTTTGTTTCTCACTTTTACGTCATTGGCTGCTACAGCATCAGCAACAATTGCAACCGGATTTATGTGACTAATCATAAAAAAACATTCAGCTTGCAAATATATGGTTCATCTAACATACTCAGTAATCGTAATATTATTTTAACATAAATTTCAAAACTGTAAAACAATTTTTTAGACGGTGTGTCGTTTTTTGATAACAGCTATGATTGTGTCAAGCTTCTAGTATGAACAGTCATAACAGTTATATTATTCTTCCTATCCAATTTTAATAGTCATTTTTCTCTATTATATTTCTCACTAGGGGGTCGCATCTAATACCCCCTAAGCCGAGTGTCCAATTCCACTCTCATTACCATTATGATAATCATCACATGAATTCGTTGTAGTGCTTACAGATATTTCGCAACAGTATTTTTTTTTAAATATAGGTGTTGTGTTTCTGATACGCCTTATCCCATCATTGTGTGAACTTATTTTTACTATTTTCTGAGACGTGTATATTGTGTATTATTCCACCTATTTACTAGTATCGTTGTTTTTTTTGGCACTCCAAATTGTCAGATAACTTCTGTAGACAAAAAACAGGCAAATTTAATAATATATAAATAAAAAAACGACAACAAATACAGTGTTGTCAAACTCATTTTAAACTAGATAACATTAAATCATTTCTGACCAATATTTCTTTGTATCGATTCAATCCGCACCTGTATAGTACACACTACACTATTGTCTACGTTTTGATTCAGAATGATTTCCGGTTCCGGTACGTCACACAGAGTAAAATGAACGCTTGATTTGAGTGTTTCTGACATGAATATTGATGTCATTTCCTGTATAAAATACGCCTCGTTATAACATATGATTATGGCGGCACTTTGTTGATACTATAAACTGTCCACATTTTTTATAAAAAATAATGTATTGGTGAACTAAATTAGTTGGACTATATTTAGAATTCCAGTTTTATATTCCCTACAATTTTGTATTGAGTTAATGACATTTGATAATAATTGCTCCTTTTTGTATTGTTTATTTGTAGGTAGCGGACAAATTCAACTTTGGCAATTTCTACTAGAATTATTATCAGACAGCAGTAACGCCAATTGCATCACGTGGGAAGGAACGAATGGAGAATTCAAACTCACAGACCCGGATGAAGTTGCACGACGATGGGGAGAACGTAAAAGTAAACCAAACATGAATTACGACAAACTGAGCCGAGCTTTACGGTATTACTATGACAAGAACATTATGACCAAAGTACACGGAAAGCGATATGCCTATAAATTCGACTTTGCTGGACTGGCTCAACAAGTACAGATGCAGTCAGAAGCTAACACATATAAATACCAACCAGATCTATCATATATTTCGGGGTATGGACATGGACATAAATTCAATTTCATGCCCACTGGCATGCCGTCGTCGTCTACGTCTTTTTTCGCCCCACCAAACTCATATTGGTCATCGCCGACAGCGGGCAACATCTACCAAACCAGTCACGTGACGCATCATCCACCCAATCATGTATCGTCTAGACTCAGTCCGTACTACAGTTAAGGAGACAATTGACAAACAAACAAACCAGGGGAATAACAATTGAAATCACTTTCTCAGGTGAATCGGAGTGACGTCACTTCCCTTCCAGTCTGCAATATATTATTTTACTGTCAAGAACGTTTTGACTGCAAGTACATTTTTAAAACGTGCAATATTTTAATTAGCATATTAGATCGTTTTATTGAGTGAGAAATATTTATTTTGTAGATGGCGTCTTATTCTGGTGTCATATTTGTCACCGAGGTCAAACTGTGAGGTCAACATATTGAGATTAGGTTTCTCGAGAATATGTTCGACGTGTTTCTTCATTGTCTGTACGTAATAATGTGTTAAGCAACACGGTGTATGTTGCATACATTACCCATGATGCATTGCTGTTTATTCACCCGTACATTTCGCCTCACGTGATCTGATAAGACTGCGAGAGTAACAATTAAGTCCGCCGACCAGCAAAACATTGTATTTATTGAAATCTACTTCTTTTTGTAGGCGTATAAGACAGTTCCATAAACTCGTTTATTTAAGAATAATCGCGAGAAAGTATGGATATTTTGGATGCATGATGTGAATATTTAAAACTGTGCCGCTAAACATTCTGAATGCACTGTCTCTTTATGGTAAAACTTTCAGAGCGCGCTGCCCATATATGGTAACAAATTCAGAACGCGTTGTCCTTATATGGTAACAATTTCAGAACGCGTTGTCCAAATATGGTAACAATTTCAGAGCGCGTTGTCCAAATATGGTAACAATTTCAGAACGCGTTGTCCAAATATGGTAATAATTTCAGAATGCGTTGTCCAAATATGGTAACAACTTCAGAACGCGTTGTCCAAATATGGTAACAATTTCAGAACGCGTTGTCCAAATATGGTAAACGCTCACCGTAACATTAAGTTATAATTTTGTAAAACGTACAATATGCGATTTTTTGAAGTTGAAAATAAATATTATAAATACTTAACATTTTCCTGTTGTGTTGTCTGTTATACGGGTCGTCAGCTTATATTTCGAACATGAACGTGCACAGAGTTGAAATTGTGTCCTGGTTTAAAATAGACGCAATTTTAATGAATAACGATATGACAAATATTCTGAACCCTAATTGGCAGAGTGGGTCCACTTCTTTGCAACTTTGCTTTGTCTGACGAGGAATATAAACATTGTCATATGTCTGTACGTCTAATATCCAGATTTTGGTCCGTCGACACCAAAGCTACACTATCGCACAAGAAGCCTTTGATGGGAATATTAAAATTAGTTGTTTGCACAATTTTTCTACAATCTCTTTTAATAGTTACCCCCCCCCCCCCAAAGTACCTTCGACTTATGGATTAAATGGACATTCTCCATACAGTGTATTCTGCCACCAAAGCAATATTAAATGGAAATTTAATGAAATATCCCGTCGCCAAACAACCTGAAGCTCGGTTCACAGACACACATAGAGCTCAGAATCCTACATTCTCCAAATCGAATGAATCTTGGTACATCCCTATTGAATTTGGCGAATTCACAAACAGGCTACGGGTGGACCAATTTAGAATTGGATGATGGTTGTAGTGATCCAACCGGTACGCTATCAGTGACGCGACGGGGTGCATTGTGTGCGCTGTGTTCTTCTGAATAAAACAATTCTCGTTATAATTTCCTGGATTGGCATACTTTTTCATAATTAATATTAGTTTATTACAAACAATTAGGGTATAAATCGTGAACACTATTGTTCTTTTAAATCAACACGTTTCTTTCAATCATGTATGGTGTGTGTCACGGTAATGTCCCGTAGTTGTTGACTACATATTGTCCCTATTGTCTCGTTCAATCAGAGCGATCAAATCATTTAATAAAGAATGGCACAAATCAGTAAATTGTATATTGTTATGGGAATGAGAATTGAGTTCTCACGGATGGTTCTACACGCCTTCATCGTGTAATTGTTTGACCAGTCTTAACGTAACCAATCACGCCCACCTGCCATATTCAAACCCGGGCGCATGATAACAGTCAACCTAGCAACCTGACAATCTAGAAATTGCCACCTTAAAAAATCACAAAATCGATTTTATATATTATTTTTCACAACACCTGTAGCTAATCAAAAGTTTTGATCATTTTGGGTAATTATAGAAAAATACATTTTTGTGCGAATGTAATATTTAACATACATGGTAGGAAACATGTTGTAGCACATTTCCACCAAGTGTAAGTCCAAACTCACTTAATTTAACCTGTTGTATGGCTTAATGGTTCTCTGCCCGCCTAACATCAGCGAGATTGTGGTTTTAGCTCCCGTCATGGCTGCATACTTAATAGTAAAAAACAAGTACAGTTGAAAGGACGTAAAACAGGCGTAAAACTGTCGAGTTCGTGTGCTGTTAGTTGTTCAGTTCTCAGTGTATATATACATTACAGCATCCTTGTCACAGCAAGTAGCGGAATACTGTAGAATACTTTATTTCAGCCGGAATTAATTTTCTCTAAAAAGATTTTTTGGTGTTTTGTATGAAATTTATTTTCACTGATGTTAAATGTAAAATCAAAGACATTAGAAAGAGAATGTCTTTGGTAAAATATAGGAAAAAAGGTATAATTGCTGGAGTTTATTTTCACTGAATCATTCCTTCAGCGAAAATTAATTCCAAGCGAAAATAAAGTATTTTGCAGTACCGCGGGATGACTGAAATTTACACTTCCATAAAACCACGCCAATCGGAAACTCGTCATATTTTGAAATGACTAAAAAAAAATGGAATTTCAGAGACTATGTAGAATACCGTGTCTTCCCCCAACAAGGAGGGTTTGAAGCATGAACACAGTGAATTGGCAAGTATGTAATCGACAATTATGATTATTAGATTATGAAATAGAATGGCGATCATACCCATAACTGACAATACAAATCAGAACATCATAGAGTTTATGTATTTATGTTATGTATTTATGTACACACTATTTATGACATGAGGGAGGGCGTGGGAGATGGGAAGGTACTGCGCCAAACCCAACGATATACAAAATGTCCCTCGAAATATTGAAGGGAAATTTGATACCGTTCGAATGATTCATTATAACGTTCTCTGTAACTTATGTTGGTGTAAATTTTAAAACGAATGGGCCGCTAAATTTGTTTTATTTTAAGTTATGCATTAACTTTTTTGAATTAAAAAAAAAAAGCTTGCAAGAGTTCCAACGTTTATGATCGGTGATCTCCTAAGTTTATTTAGTTATTCCAAAATAATCATTTGTGTCAAATTTAATTCAAATGAGATTTCTTTGACATCAAAAACCACAGAGTCGTTGATACAGGTAATGAGTAAGAGACAATTTAAAATGATATTACATCGCGACGTCGACGACAACTGCGCGTACATACAAACTAGCCTGGACATGCTCGGATGATAGGGGATATGATCCTCGTCGATATAAAAATACAGTGAACAATATGGGTAGCCTAGCATGGTCAACATGTGGTCTGAACGGAGTGACATGCCATCGCGCCTGACAGACCACTTTATCGCCATCTTCAGCACCGGCATAAACTACTCTAGTGTTTGCATTTTAAGAATGAGTCACGAATACAGTTTGGACTGAATACATAAGCGGCAATCCTCCAGTTATACTGAACATAATTCTTTGTGTCGAGTTTTGTACGGTACCTATCATAGTTTCGTTTATTTCGTTATATATGTAAATGATTCTCGTGAAATTTTTTTCTGTCAAACGAGAACACGATTGCAGTCCAATTTGAATTCGTACGTGTACACCTTTTAAAGATGATTATGCCGTTATTTTTGTATTTATAATACTACTAAGTCATTATGATTTTTCATGGAGTAAGAAGTAAACAGTACATAGACAGCTGGATGTACACATGGGAAACTCTAGACTACATGAAAAGAGGAGTGAAGGGAAACTCGATTGACTGCGTATTACGTTCATACACAGGTTGAGAGTAAGCGAAGGACACCGGACGCTGGGACCGTACCGTTGTTCGGCGTGCTTATAAATTTTAACTAGAATTATAAGATTATCTGATAATAGTTTAACCGAAATACGCGCGTGTCGGAGATCACAACACCACTCGCGTTGCTTAATTGTTTATTTGATTATCATTACGATTCAAAAGAACAATGTCATGTAATTGACACAGCCCGGATATTGCGAAAAAAGGTTGTCCGAATAACAAAGAAAAACAGATTTAAAGATTAAATATTAATTGTTTTTAAACAACCGAGGCTAATTAAATAACATTAAAGTGGGATTTTGACCAAGGATGGTTTACTAAGTGGTGTGTGTTTCCCACGTCATAGATCCGTGCACTGTGTCCACACTTCTTGCTGACCATGGAATTAATAGTTGTAAAGGACGCATGCGCACACGCATGACTTGGCTTTATGTGCTAGTGATATTACACATTTCTTGGTTGGGGAAAGATTTATTTACGGTTGATACCTAAGACATTAACAGAAACTGTCAATTGTACAGCTATATGAAAATAATGTATTAATATTTTATTAGGGCGCGCTCGTCCCGCTTTGATCGAGCCTGTACGCCGTTTTCGTCATAACGCTGCGGCTATTATAGCCGACTGCTGTTCCGCGTTATAAAGTACAGCCAACGGAACGACAGTCACCTAACCTAATATGAACACGGATGTGAAGGAAACTCTGATACCATCTTCTAACAGATACTAAGTAACCGTTTTATAAAATACGTTATCACACGTAAGATGTTCTGTGTGGGTTATGCTATATACCGGTTTTTTTTCGCCACACAACACTTTTTTTTCATTGTGTATGATTTTCTGGGGTAGTTTTCACAATATTATAGCTCCAATAAACCCAGGAATAAAAAGGTTACATAATTCAAGTTATATGTCGTGTTTCGAGTACGCTGTGCATTTTGGTCACTCTCGAAATGATATTTCTCAACAACTTATGTAACTTTCATATCTGTTTATTCTGTGATGAAAATATTTACATTAACAGAAATATAAATAACAAATTCTAATAAATAAATAAATAAATAAATAAATAAATAAATAAATAAATAAATAAATAAATAAATAAATAAAT